TTTTAGCTCCTAATTTTCATTCAATAAAATTGCCTTTTTTCTAAGCCTATAGCCTTACTTTTTTCGAAAAAATTATGTATCTTTTCCTTTTCTATTTTATCTTCAAATGAATGCTAAGAATGATAGATCCTCATTAAGACTTTTTAGGTCTGCAATCCAACCTATTTCAGATTGTTTTAGCTCCTAAATTCCCCTCCATAAAATTGCCTTTTTTCTAAGCCTATAGCCTTACTTTTTTTCGAAAAAATTATGTATCTTTTTCATTTCTATTTTGCCTTCAAAATGAATGCTAAGAATGATAGATCCTCATTAGGACTCTTTAGGTCTGCAATCCAACCTATTTGAGATTGTTTTAGCTTCAAAATTCCCCGCAATAAAATTGCTTTTTTTCTAAGCCTATAGCCTTACTTTTTTTCGAAAAAATTATGTATCTTTTCTTTTTCTATTTTGCCTTCAAAATGAATGCTAAGAATGATAGATCCTCATTAGGACTCTTTAGGTCTTAAATCCAGCCTATTTTAGATTGCTTTAGCTCCTAATTTTCCTTCAATAAAATTGCCTTTTTTCTAAGCCTATAGCCTTACTTTTTTTCGAAAAAATTATCTATCTTTTCCTTTTCTATTTTGCCTTCAAAATGAATGCTATAAATGATAGATCCTCATTAAGACTCTTTAGGTCTGCAATCCAACCTATTTCAGATTGTATTAGCTCCTAAATTCCCCTCCATAAAATTGCTTTTTTCTAAGCCTATAGCCTTACTTTTTTTCGAAAAAATTATGTATCTCTTCCTTTTCTATTTTGCCTTCAAAATGAATGCTAAAATTGATAGATCCTTTTTAAGACTCTTTAGGTCTGCAATCCAACTTATTTCAGATTTTTATAGCTCCTAAACTCCCCTCCGAAAATTGCATGACCATTCGAAAAAATTATGTATCTTTTCCTTTTCTATTTTGCCTTCAAAATGAATGCTAAGAGTGCTAGATCCTCATTAAGACTCTTTAGGTCTGCAATCCAACTTATTTCAGATTTTTATAGCTCCTAAACTCCCCGCCAAAAATTGCATTTTTTCTAAGCCTATAGCCTTCCCTTTTTTCGAAAAAATTATGTATCTTTTCTTTTTCTATTTTGCCTTCAAAATGAATGCTAAGAATGATAGATCCTCATTAGGACTCATTAGGTCTTAAATCCAGCCTATTTTAGATTGTTTTAGCTCCTAATTTTCCATCAATAAAATTGCCTTTTTTCTAAGCCTATAGCCTTACTTTTTTTCGAAAAAATTATGTATCATTTCCTTTTCTATTTTATCTTCAAATGAATGCTAAGAATGATAGATCCTCATTAAGACTTTTTAGGTCTGCAATCCAACCTATTTCAGATTGTTTTAGCTCCTAAATTCCCCTCCATAAAATTGCCTTTTTTCTAAGCCTATAGCCTTACTTTTTTTCGAAAAAATTATGTATCTTTTTCTTTTCTATTTTGCCTTCAAAATGAATGCTAAGAATGATAGATCCTCATTAGGACTCTTTAGGTCTGCAATCCAACCTATTTGAGATTGTTTTAGCTTCAAAATTCCCCGCAATAAAATTGCTTTTTTTCTAAGCCTATAGCCTTACTTTTTTTCGAAAAAATTATGTATCTTTTCTTTTTCTATTTTGCCTTCAAAATGAATGCTAAGAATGATAGATCCTCATTAGGACTCTTTAGGTCTTAAATCCAGCCTATTTTAGATTGCTTTAGCTCCTAATTTTCCTTCAATAAAATTGCCTTTTTTCTAAGCCTATAGCCTTACTTTTTTTCGAAAAAATTATCTATCTTTTCCTTTTCTATTTTGCCTTCAAAATGAATGCTATAAATGATAGATCCTCATTAAGACTCTTTAGGTCTGCAATCCAACCTATTTCAGATTGTATTAGCTCCTAAATTCCCCTCCATAAAATTGCTTTTTTCTAAGCCTATAGCCTTACTTTTTTTCGAAAAAATTATGTATCTCTTCCTTTTCTATTTTGCCTTCAAAATGAATGCTAAAATTGATAGATCCTTTTTAAGACTCTTTAGGTCTGCAATCCAACTTATTTCAGATTTTTATAGCTCCTAAACTCCCCTCCGAAAATTGCATGACCATTCGAAAAAATTATGTATCTTTTCCTTTTCTATTTTGCCTTCAAAATGAATGCTAAGAGTGCTAGATCCTCATTAAGACTCTTTAGGTCTGCAATCCAACTTATTTCAGATTTTTATAGCTCCTAAACTCCCCGCCAAAAATTGCATTTTTTCTAAGCCTATAGCCTTCCCTTTTTTCGAAAAAATTATGTATCTTTTCTTTTTCTATTTTGCCTTCAAAATGAATGCTAAGAATGATAGATCCTCATTAGGACTCATTAGGTCTTAAATCCAGCCTATTTTAGATTGTTTTAGCTCCTAATTTTCCATCAATAAAATTGCCTTTTTTCTAAGCCTATAGCCTTACTTTTTTTCGAAAAAATTATGTATCATTTCCTTTTCTATTTTGCCTTCAAATGAATGCTAAAATTGATAGATCCTCATTAAGATTCTTTAGGTCTGCAATCCAACCTATTTCAGATTGTATTAGCTCCTAAACTCCCCTCCAAAAATTGCATTTTCTAAGCCTATGGCCTTCCCTTTTTTCGAAAAAATTATGTATCTTTTTCTTTTCTATTTTGCCTTCAAAATGAATGCTAAAATTGATAGATCCTCATTAAGACTCTTTAGGTCTGCAATCCAACTTATTTCAGATTTTTATAGCTCCTAAACTCCCCTCCAAAAATTGCATGACCATTCGAAAAAATTATGTATCTTTTCCTTTTCTATTTTGCCTTCAAAATGAATGCTGAAGTTGATAGATCCTCATTAAGACTCTTTAGGTCTGCAATCCAACTTTTTTCAGATTGTTTTAGCTCCTAAATTCCCTTCAATAAAAATGCTTTTTTTGTAAGCCTATAGCCTTACTTTTTTTCGAAAAAATTATGTATCTTTTCCTTTTCTACTTTGCCTTCAAAATGAATGCTAAGAATGATAGATCCTCATTAGGACTCTTTAGGTCTGCAATCCAACCTATTTCAGATTGTTTTAGCTCCTAAATTCCCCTCAATAAAATTGCCTTTTTTCTAAGCCTATAGCCTTACTTTTTTCGAAAAAATTATGTATCTTTTCCTTTTCTATTTTGCCTTCAAAATGAATGCTGAAGTTGATAGATCCTCATTAAGACTCTTTAGGTCTGCAATCCAACTTTTTTCAGATTGTTTTAGCTCCTAGCTAGTAAATTCCCTTCAAACGAGAAAAATGCTGATTTATTTTGTAAGCCTATAGCTTAACCTTATTTTTGTTAGTTTTTTTTTTTTCGAAAAAATTAATTGCTATACTGATTTTTTCTTTTCAGTTTTCTTTGTTTGGCTTGTATTAATCTTTTTTTTCTCCCTCCCGGTCTTTCTTTATAATCTCATGTTCCTTTGTCTTTTTCTTTTTTCTTTTCTTTTATTCATATTTTGTGGTGTTCCTTTTTTTTTTTTTTTTTCTTTTTTTTTTTCCTCCTTATTCCCTCCCCTCTCTCTTTTTTTCCTGTTCTTTTTTCCCCGCCCTTCCTTTTTATTTTTTATTCCTTTCCCCCCCCCTCTTCCACTTTCTTATTTCCATACTTTTCCCTTATTCCTAGTTCCTTTTCTCACTATTGTTTTTTTTTTTCTTTTCCTCTCAAATGAATGCTAAGATTCAAAAGAATGCTATAAG